AATATAGTTCAATGAATTTTATTTTGAATTTGAATAAATCCGCGCTTGTCATCAATTTATCCATATTTGATGATTAATTTAAATGGATACATTGTTTATATGGATTAGTATTTCTACTTTTACCTGTCCGACTTAATATATAATTACCAATTGTAAATTGCCAGTGAAATAAATGTAAATTACCTGTAAATATTAATATTAATTAAGAATATTTCATTTATTTCCGTATACATGTATTTTAACACATGTCGAATATTCCACCTACGAGTGAATAAATCTACATAATGAACGATAACTCGTACTATGAACGATAACTCGTGTTCGCCTACCTGTACATTGTACCATCTAGCGTTAACCATGACTACTAGGCAATATATGATAGTCAATTACTGTAATATATTTTTTGATTTTTAACTGGGAGACTGCTTCTGTTGCAACCTCATGGACGATCATCGGTAATCATCAACTTAATTTATATCTGAACAAAAACTGACTGCGTCTGGTGCATGACGAGATATTGGTTTTCAGGCAAGAAGGTAATTTAGGGATCTTGTCATGATGCCAATTAGACATTTGTCAATCTCACTGCAGGGTTTGACATTAACTTTTATGAGTACTAGACCAGTCGGGCTACTTCCAATAATTTTTACTAGCCCTGACAAAACCTGCAATTTTTTTTAAATCGCTAATTTTAACAAGGTAATTTTGAAATTGTTTCAAACTAGCCAATTGAGTCGGGTTCATCAAGACATGCGAGTATTGTAAGCTTTAAAGATCATTCAACGAACTTTAATAATTTTTTTATCCTAAATATAAATAAATTTTTACATTTGCTGTGTTTTTCTAAGCCAACTGTGAAATTGATTTGAAAACCAATTTTGTGTATACTCACGCGTAGAAATATACGCGGAGAAACTCGCGCTAACGTGACGTCACAATGAGGCTACAGAGACGTTCATAAAAATATGACGATATAGGGCAGCAAGAAATTCAAACATTGAGTATATTTTTGGTGCATTATAAGCGGGAGACATGATTGTCCTGAGTTAGCAAAATTTCATTTTCTATTTGAACATTAAATTCAAAAGCTTTTCTAGGAAGTTTCTAAAGCATTATAACATATTTCTTATCATTAAATCGAAATATTGTTAAGAATCTTTGAAATATGAAATATATGAAATAAATTCACTTTATTGATAATTGCAGTATGCATTTTACTTTACAGTTAGAGGTCAGTTTTATATTATGAAGATAACGAACAGTAAGCAAGCTCTTTAAATTTCTTAGTCTATTCGATCCATCTTTTAAAACGTATAAATATGCATTATGTTGCTTGGATTACCGACCTGTACAGATAAACAAGATACTTCGTGCAGAATGTCTGAATTCACCTATATTTGTAGAAACACGGTTAACTTATTTTGACTTTTCAATATTTTTTTTCTGAATTTTACGCATGATATTGTGAACAAAATAAACCAGTTTCCATTACAGTCACTAAAAATAGAGAAGGTTTGTAAAATTGTGCGTCAAATGAAACAAATATCTTGTACAATTTCAGGAAAATCGGTTTTTTTTATGAAAAAAGAAAACAAAACTGTAAACATTTTGGGACAATCCTAAACGTTCCTGTGGTAAGAACACGCAGTTATTACGCTTTTTCGATCTAGGGCGCTTCTTCACTTCCTCATATCGCCTTTCTGAAAGTGGGGACGTTATAATGCCTTTTCTTTTTGTGTTATTACACATTCTGAAGGACAGTCGCTGTTAAAACCCTTTTCATATTGTGTTAATATGCCTTTTTTGCTTAATACGTCTTTCCACTTGGCGTTTATAACGCCCCTTAATTTTTTAAAGATATATTTTAATCCTAATAGGCTTTCTAGATATAACAAGAAAAAACTTATTTACACGTACTCACTCATCATCGGAAGTCCAATAAAAACGACAAAAATTCTCCGTAGGAACATTTTGTTGATGTTTTTCATTTCACACAATCTATTGACATACTACCATATGATAAAAACCCAGCATAATCTAAAACTGCGTCAAAAATTAAATGTCTACGTATTATATTTCAAATCCTATAATCATATCAATTCCATGCCTTTTGCGATTTAAATGCATAGATAATGATATGGTTGAATTTTCCCTCTGGTACAAAGGAAAGAAATTCTTGATTTTCGATAAATTAAGTACCTGTAGCATGCTATACATGAAAATGACAATCTTTACAGTATGAAATTTTTAATTTCTAAAATGCAAGTTTTAGCTATGTTTAAGATGATACTTTTTTTTAAAAAATCTTGCCTTTTTAATATGAACTCTATATTTATGAAGATTATGAAGCAAGATTTCTAACACAGGCAAATTCTATGAAGCGGATTTAGCGCGTTATAGCAAACATTTCTGTTAGAATATCTAATAGTATATCTGAAGAATACTTTCCTAATTTGGGGGGAAATAATATACTTTCCTAATATCTGAGAAAATGTTCTATCGATAAATTTCTGAAATTTTTCATTAATATTGCTATTGAAGACGAATCTTCTTGAAACTATGATAATTGACGCTAAAATCAGACATTTAAGAAAGTTATTCATAGTCTCTGATAAACATGTATTGTTGTCAAAATTTAAAATGAAAGTAAGCGGCAGTTCGGAAACATCCTATGTAGACTGTTAATTCAGGGTGTCAAATTATAGCACAGATAAAGCAAAAGAATGTAAAATAATACACTGACTGTTGGGAATTATTATCTCTGTCTCTGGCATACCAATGCCAACAAATAATACTTACATAAAGAGAATTATATCTACTGAGGAACCAGAAAATTGTGTCCAATTGCTATATACAATCTGACTGTAAACAACAAACATGCCTCTCATGACGCTGCTGTTCTTGAGAAGAAAATTCTTAATTTTTTCTAGATATTGCCCTGTAAAACTGATCCCCGAATGTGACCACATCTTACTCACACGGGACATTTTTTACAGAGATTGATCCTAATAGGCATTTTTGTACATATGTTCTAGATATAATAAGAATAACATTTTTTTTATACAGACTCACCAAATATCCAACAAGAACAATAAAAATTTTCGATAAGAACATGTTTTGTCATTTCACACTATCTTGCACAAAAAACGCGGCGTCATGTTAAATTGCGTTTTACATTAAATGTCAAATGTTCCTTCAAAAGTTGAATACCTTTAAAAGTCCCATAATAGTATCAATTCTACTTCCTTTGCTATTTAATATAGGAAACATCCTTTTCAGACTATCCATTCTAGAGTGATTGGTGAGAACGTTTGTCTCTGTTTCTAGCTTACCAAAGCCATCAAATTAATAATACTTAGATACAGAGAAATACCTGAGGAACAGAACATTCATTAAAGGGACATAAACTTTACATGCTTTAAAAATTTTGATAGAATTTCATTGCGCACAAGTTGCTAGAAAATTGTAGATAGGTATTTTATGATACACAACATGTTTTAATTCTTCTTTCATCCAAAAATTATGAAAACTATACATTTCGAGTGTTTTTATTGTCATACTTCCTTTCACTTTCACAAAATAACATTATATTTAATTTTTAAGCAAATGGGTAACCTTGGTGTTTAAATTAATAAAAATATAAATAAACGAAAAACAAGAAAAGTCAGACTAGAAATGTAAGAAGCGGCGACGTGTGCATTTTAGCAAATAGATCACATCCCGTAAAACGTAAACAACAACAACAGAGCTCGTACCAGTGTCTACAAACACAGGCGTTTGGAGTTACAGTAATACCGTTGTCATTGAATTTTGAGAATTGTCACGTATGTTCAATTCATTAAACTAAAGTTATTTTTCAAATACATGTAGTTAAAAAAAAATAAAAACTGTTAACAAAATGGAAATGCAATTGTTTGTATGTCCCTTAAATGATCGTGAAATGACAATTTCTTTTGTAATGTTGGTTTCACACAGTATAATTCAGGTATTTAAAATAGAGGTAAATCAAAAGTTATGCTAGCATCACACAAGTGTAATTTAGGTATCTACTATACAAACAGTCCAAAGATAAGGCCAGCTTCACATAGATAAAATTTAGGTTTCTACCCCACTGGTAACTCACATGACGCGTCGGAGTATGGTATGTTTTAGCTAATGCAAATGATATTTCAACACAACAATAATATAACAGTCAATTTTTTCTCAACTGGTATCTTGAAACACATCCTCTTTTCTTCCATTCTTTAATTTCTTCTGAAAAGATGTCTTCCTACTATTCCTACATTATAAATATTAATATTCCTTCTATTCCAACAAGTCATATGGTTTGAAAGTTATTTGTTTTCATGACATTTAAAGTGCAATCTGCTATATTCGAAAGAAAATACATAAAAAGTGAAAGAATAGAACAAATTGATTGATTGATTGTATGTTATTTTACATCAGATTCGAAAATTTTTCCCTCATATGGAGAGATCACCATATAAAGGTGATGGGCTTAAAATTTAGACCTTTATTCGGGACTCAGAGCCATTGAGCAGTGAGGAATCTTTATCGTGCCAACGCCTACCGTGCACGGGGCTTCCTTAACGGCCATAAAATAAATTGAAGAAAAAGAGATATCAAATTAAAATTATGGAATCTGAAATGTAAATTTTAATAATGCCATCTCATTTAGTCATTTTAAGCCTGAATTTTTCGAATTGAGACAATTTCGAACAGTATTTTAATTACATAGTTAATATTTATAAAAATTTAGATCATAATTAATATACAAAAACCTTTAATCTATCCCCAGTCCCCAATTACTGATTGAAAGGGAATTAAAAAAAATGTTTATTTAGCATGATTCCTTTATTTGCACTAGAATGAAGTGAGACATTGTTGCTTAATCAGTTTCTTTATTGTACATACAATCACGTGTCATCATGAAATCATGAAATTCTCCCAAACACCTATACAAAGGGGTAAGGCACTTTAAAGCAATAACAATTTTTAGATTTAGCTTAAAGAACTTTATTAATTTATGTTGATTACAATTTTCAGAATAGATTAAGTCATTCCTAATCACGAGAGCAGATACCATGGAGACCAGAAAGTGTCTAGTCATCACGCCCCCGTTAGTCCTCCACCTGGACAGTTGGGTCCTTGACATTCCGTAGTTTCTGGAAAAAATGAAACTCGAAGTATTACAAGTATTGGAAAGCGTCATAGCTTCTTAAAATATATATGATCTACCATGCTTTGTGTTAGGATATGATTATATCCAACTCCTCGTATTTTGTATCCGTTTGCCAAGAAGTTGTGTGTTTTATCCCGAGTCTTGGCGAGGGGAAAGAAAACACACAACAAGTTGGAATAAAACTTATAACTAACCACAAACCATAGGAGATGCTTTTTATCACATATTTAACACGTAGATATCGCATGTTTTACATTTTTTTTTATGTTTTATATGTGAATGCAATTTCTTTGACTTCTTAATTTCACGCAAAAACCATTATGGCGTCACAACTGTACATATGAAAACGACATTATCCCGTGTTTAAAGGTTTGTGCAAAAGAAAAGAGGGATTTGAAATATTTAAGTATTGTGCAGAATTCTTCCTAATGTGTATAAAAATCCTAGAATACCCACAATTCCCTGTTCAAATTTGATCTGTATATTATACATGTACACCTTATAATGCTGATTTATTTCTAAGCACATTATTATTTATCCCAACAGTTTAAAAACATTACACTTCCTAAACAGTTGTAAATACCCAATTTTCCATACCAATTAATGTAATACTAGCTTCTCCATTTCCGTATCTGTTGTGTCCAACACAATAGTATTTAGTGTAGTCATTAGCCTGAACATTCTTCACATGAAGTGTAGACCAAAACTCGTCGTTTTGAAGGATGTTGAACTCTTTGGTGATGTCATATTTATCGTTGTCCTTAAGTTCAATTCGTCTGCCATTTTCCGCTTCCTTCATCCATTTTACAGTTGGACGAGGGTTTCCTGAATAGAATAAAACTCTTCTGTCATGGTTGACAGATAAATTCACACTCAATTCTTTGACTTCAAAGATTCATTAAAATTCTGTCGTTAGATTTGATCAATGAACGATCCCACATATATTACAACTTGAGGGTCGGATAATCTAAGACATACCTTTACATAATAAACATTGAACCTGACTCCTGCATTGTATGTCACAGGCAGCATCCCAAATTTGAATGGTTTTTATATACCGGAATGTAACATCGAAGTGATTCGGTCAAAATTGGGTTTGTGATTACTAGTGTATGACCTTTCAAAAATTCTGACTCAGTCCTTCATTCATATAGGTCAACATAGAAGCTGAACTTCTAAAAAATATCAGTAAGGGTTTGTTAAACCTCTGGACGCTTATTATTCCAATTCGTTCTTGAGCCTATTACTAGTAGTTAATGATCTACATTCTAATATGCAATATTTATGACGTCTTTTTAGAGAAGGATTTAAAATTTCTTTTGAATTTTTATACACAAGCTAAAGAAGTATCCGTAACAAGATAATTGGAAATGGAAATATAAGTACATGTATTCCAAATCTTGTAAAATAACAAAGAATTCGATTAATTTTGGTGTCTTAAACAAAGGTCAAGACCAAAATGGTCAAGACGATTGAGCTTTATTTATATTTAGAAATCCAATTTGGTATTTTAAAAGAATTGTACGTATTATTCATACGGACGAGAAGCAGCGATTAGGAGAAGAGAAATGATTTTGAATCCTATTACTATTTTGAATTCTGTACAAGTTCTGCCTTTGACGTTGTCAGAATGGATTAACTTCTACAAGTATACGAAACGAATGAAAGAAAATATTACTGTTGCCTTCAATTTGAGACTGAGATATGTCGTTGACGTTCTATTACATAACAATGTTCAACGTGGATTCGATATATCCTATTGAACTCAAAATAAAAGACACCACAGAGTCTGACACATATTGTTCATATTTCGATGTTTTACCAGAAAAAAGATGATGGAATACTAACAACTAACCTTTAAGATAAACGAGATGACTTTTCTTACCTTATTTTTTCTTATTTATGTAGCAATATACCTATCACCTGCATATGGGGTTTATATTCTACCTACAATCAATTTCTATTACGAGTGCGGGCTCTGACAAATAAGTGTGATGAAACAAGGATATCAACAATCTCGTTTAAATCAATATTTTGCCAATTTTGCCAATTCTATAGGAGATACATTGACCCCGAAAATAGAATCTATCGTAAGGTTGAAGTTGACTGACTTCTTTCATACAAATTGTCAGAGCATTATTTTTTTACACTGAATTGTCTACGGGTTTTTTATGAAAAAGAGCACAGGGCGGGCAGTCGACAAGGAATGCTCACTCCTCCATGGCAAGTAATCCTACCTCGTTTTTGACCTGCTCAAAATTTGAATTAACTTTTGAGATTAATACTGTTCGTTATCTATACATTTTATGACAAGGTGCATATAACGAGCAGTGATCAATCTCATAAATCCAATAACCTATACAAATCGGGAAAGGACCCGGTCCATTAAGTATGTAGACTTACAAGTACAGCAATAAGCATGTAATCCTTTTTACACACCTCATTTAGAACTTAAAGTTGTAGTAACAACATAAACAGGGTGAGGGAAATACTCGACATTTAGATATATGGACGACGTATTGTCAGTTAACAATAGTTACGTCCATTCATATGTCGACTCGATAGATCCAGTGAACTCGAAATAAAAAGATACCACAGAGTCCAACACATCTGTTTCATATTGGGATATTTTACTAGAAAAAGACTTTAATGGTAACTTCACAACCAAGCTTTATGATAAACGTGATGACTTTAATTTTTCAATCGTCAACTTTCCTTACTTATATAATAATATTCCTTTATCACCTGCATATGGGGTTTTTGTCTCCCAGTTGATTCGATACGCAAGAGCGTATCAACAGTCTCGTTTGAAGTCATCATTATGCAAGTTCTATGGTCGATACAATGGTCTTGTCAGCAAATGCAATCTATAATTAAGTCAAATGTCGCTAGACGTTTTTCATACTAATTGTTAGGCCATTATTTACACACTGAATTGTCTACGAATTTTTCCAATTTTTCCTATCATGACAAGGAGCATACGGCGGGTGTGACTGGTCGGCAGAGAATGCTCACTCCTCCATGGCACCTTATCCCATCTCTGATGTTTTTGGAGGTCTGTGTTTGATCTGCTCCCGATCTGTATTGTCTAAATTGACTTTGAGCTTGAATGCTTTCGTTATCTCCATATTTCATCAAGTCGTGCATTAGTACAAAATATTCAAATACAATATAAACTTTGCATATTTTAGCCCAATAACGATTTTGGAGGTTTTTATCAACATATAGTTCAATATATTTTTAGAGGATCCCACGTGAACAAATTGATTCTGAGAATATTGTTCAACATTACTGAAGACATACACAAACACACCTGCAACTATACATTCAAGTTTGGCATCAAATCTTCTGTTTTGTGCTTGGCCCACTACAGACTGCACTGGTGTCAGTAAGGGAGGGAAGTATACGGCGACTTTCACTCTTATACTTGCGGGAGGTTTAATGCCATTGTTAGCCTCACATATATAGTAACCACGATCACTTTTCTGAATGGCAGTCAATGTCAGTTGGGCTCCCTGCAAGATAGAGATGAAATATTTATGGAAATCTCTATAACATTATATTTTCCTGACAAGACATACAATTTTCAAAATGTGCAGGTACAGCAGAATAATTTTGGTTTGTTTATATAAATATGCTATTTACTCCCTGAATCCGGTATCATTGTTGCATGAAATATATGGAGATATCGAATGGAGATAACGAACAGTATTCATAAAATTTGTTGTGACTGAACGAAGAATATATTTAGAAAAGAATAAAATTTTTGTGCAAATGAAGAAGCAAACTTTCAATGAATAATCAATTCATTGAAATGTCTAACTTTATTTTGTCCATTAAGCTTTACTTGTGCCTCGAGTCTTCCCGTGGAGAGTGTTCGACCGTCTTCTCTGGTCCATGTAATATTTGGAGATGGAACACCGCGAGCTTCACAGTTCATCTGGAGGTTAGATCCAATGCCCACTTCATACAGTGATTTCATGCTCGGTTTGATCCGAGGGGCAACTGTAAAAAATTATATCTACTGTGTTGATTTCATTCAGATCATGATTTTATTTTTTTTTTTATAAAGACTTTATTAAATTGAAATGTTAAGTTATATCGACTAATGTAAATTTGAAGTGCATCTCATCTTTCCTTACATACAAAGGGTTACTTGATTAAGATTGACTTAATAAAAAAAAAACAACTGATCGTTTGTTTCTGTTGTTTTTCAATCTGGGTCGCGAAGTATTACTTTCAACTTCAATTTTACATTAAATTGCCAAAATCTAATCTCATCGTCCTAATAATGAGGACTCGATGCTTTTTCTTTGTTCAAAACATAAACATTTATCACGTATACCTTAGACTGACTCTAATTTGGTACAGTATTCTTTATTAAATTACATTGTACAGTTAATTTGACACAGTATACTTTATTTAACCACTTACATTTTACAGTTTGTTTGGCACGGTATTCTTAATTGAACCACTTACACTGTACATATAATTTGGCACAGCATACTTTATTCAAATATCTAAATTTCATAACTTGGCACAGAATTCTTTATTGAACCACTTACATTGAACAGTTAATATGGCACAGTATTCTTTATTATACTACTTACGTTGTACATTTAATTTGGTACAGTATTCTTTTTATTAAACCACTTACATTGTACAGTTAATTTGACCCTCTTTCTCGGCCACTCTGACAAAGTTACACCTGGAATTTTAACTCTACACATATAATCCCCAGCATCTTGTTCTGCTACAGATCTAATTATCAACGTGTAGGTTGTTCCAAGGGCATTTTGTTTAGCCTGTACATCATGCCGATTGTCCCCTGAAAAATATTTTGAACCCTCTGTAGAACTTACTCTTTTAAGAAATAATCACCTTGAAATAATCTCTTGTGAATTCTTTTAAAACACTTCAAAGAACAATTTAAAAATATATAGAATACAGTGCTTGTAAAAGCTCCTATGATTTATACTTTAATTCAGTGATTACCTTTGTTACTCCTCGACAGGTAAATTGTATCAATTAAAGGGCCGTTTTTTCCCCTAAAGATGAGACAGCAATGAAGAGAATATCGAAAATTCTCATAATCAGAAACCTTAGAATGCATGTAGATTACTGTTTATTCGAACTGAAATTTGATTTGTTTTATTCTTCTTTTTAGTCAATGTAAGACAGGAGATGTGACATTCTAGTTTACTTGTATTACCTGTAAACAACTCTGTATTACCTGTAAACAACTCTGTATTAATGCTGAGAAAAATTGGAATTTTGTCGCCCGGCATAAACAGCATCCATGATACCTGGAAAGAGAAAGAAATTGAATTAAACGTTAATTACTTTTAATATTTTTCCTATATTTAACAATTTAAAAAATGTATCTCCTAATTTCAGAGCTTAACCTACCACTGAGTTAGGCCCCTTGTTGGTCACTGTACAGTTCATGTAAGCAGTTTCGCCCACTTTCTTAATCTGGGGCAAAAAATTCTTAACAATGGCTGGTCGCTGAGCTTTAACTGAAACAACTTTTTATTTGAAGTTTGTCATTCTTATGCATTGCAATGTTATGTCAACAAAATATGTAAATAATGGATAGGTATAAAACAAATTGAATATGAAATGAATTAGTTTTTTGAAAATATCTTTGCAAGACTTTCGTTTGGTGATTTCCAAGATTTCAACTGCAAAAATTTATGTTCTTATATCATTGAATCATAGGCAGTTTATAAGGAAGTAAGTTGCTCCAAAAACTCGGTTCCCATTCCTTACAATGCTATGGGTTATAATACTTTATAGTGTTCAACTTTTTCTTCAAAAGTTGTTACTGTTTGTTACTATTTTTTTGTTTTAAGGTCATAGAAACAGAAACAGTTCGGTCTGATTTCTCTGAATCGCTAACCGTATTATTTGGTCGGTACAATTTATTATTTCCAATGACGAAAATTGTATGCAAATTTACGTTGACTACTAAAGGTTAAACCTGATTGCTTCTACTTTGATATTTTTAAATGCGCCTCTCTGCAGATTACACTTGATTTTAGGACGAAGATCGTAAATGCTCTGTCAGCATATGCTTAACAGTCTCCCTTGTATATAGGATCCATCTACCAAAGAAAAAGTAAATTTCTTCACTTTTGGAAAAAAATATATTGATCTTCTGTTTTTAAAATCTACTGACCATGGAATAATTGACTGCTTATTTATACACTTTTTTCTGCTTTTTCAATAAAAATGGAACTCGTAAATTTACAAAGCTTGTCATTGGTCATCTGTAAACTAAAAGATACCACAGAGTTTGACACATCTGTTTCATATCTGGATATTTTACCAGAAAAAGACTTTAATGGTAACTTAACAACTAAACTTTATGATAAACGTGATGACTTCAATTTTTCAATCGTCTACTTCCCTTACTAATGTAACAATATACCCTTATCGCCTACATATGGGGTTTTTGTCTCCCAGTTGATTCAATAGGCGCAAGAGCATGCACGAACAATTTCTAAAAAGGAGACAAGCTATTGCCAAACAAGTTGGTGAAACAAGGATTTCAACAGTCTCGTTTGAAGTTATCATTTCGCAAGTTTTATGGTCTATAATGACCTTCTCAGCAAATACCACTAATCATTAAGTCAAATGCTGACTGACGTTTTTCATACTTATTGTTAGGCCATTATTTACACACTGATTTGTCGACGGGTTTTTTTTCCCGATTTTTTCCCGATCATGACGAGGAGCACACGGCGGGTGTGACTGGTCGGCAGGGGATGCTTACCTCTTCATGTCACCTGATCCCACCTCAGATGTTTTTGAGGTCTGTGTTTGCTCTGCTCCCGATTTGTATTGTCTAGATGAACTTTGAGCTTGAAAACTGTTCGTTATTTCCATATTTCATTGATTCAGAAGTTAAACTAATATATTTTTTGTTACTACAATATTGATTTTTTTTAACTGAGGTTGGTTTTTGAAAATTTAGTTAAATCCTACTCATTCACGCACTTTTTAAACTTCATGTCGAAGAATTTATCCTAAGAAAGGAGCAAATAATATATGTTCTATAGTATTTGACTCAAAATAAATTCACCTTTAAAATCAGATAAAGTACATAAATAGCAAAGTATAATGAGGCATCCTGTAGTTTTTGTATAAAAAATAGCCTATCGTGTTACATCTAATGAGTTTGAAATAAAATGTTCGTTAATACAAAGTTTACAAATTTTCAACATGGAATGGTAAAACTTAAGAGAGCTAAAATAAATATAACTACCCAAATAATCAACCAACATAAAGCAGCATTTCAAATATAACTCGACAAATAATCAACCAACATAAAGCAGGCATTTCAAATAATCAACCAACATAAAGCAGGCATTTCAAATAATCAACCAGCATAAAGCAGGCATTTCAAATATAACTCTACAATTAAATAAACAGAAATCACAGCTATACAGGGTATTTTAAATAACATAGAATTTACGATTTCTCACCTTGATGTTGCAGACAGCCCAGGAAAACCATCCATACCAAGTGCATCTCTGAAAACGTAGGCTGTCTGGTTACGACAGAGATTTTTCCTATATATTCATACATAAAATGTCATCCGTCAATAAGTTAAAAGCTGTGGAAAATTTCGCCTGACTAACAACGATTCAAACGAAAATTGGCAATTTGAATGTCCAATATTGTAGAATTCTTGGAAACCATATTAAATAAATGTAATGAAAGCAGCTGTTCAGTATTATAAATTTTGTACTTGATGATTGATTGTCGAAAGGTTATCTATCATAAAAGCCTTGGTTTAATGCACCGGATGTTGGTTATTTAGGTAAAAATATACATTGTTATATCATAAACTTTTGACAATCAATCATCAATTAAAACTATGAATAACACTGAATATACCTACAATGGTTATTCATTCTTATCTTGTCTGGTACACACACAGGTATGACAATTAAACATCTATTCTCTGGTACAAATTCTTGTTACAATTTAAATCTTACTCCCAGTTAAGTGTTCACTGAAGTTCTCATCAATGATTTTTAAAAATAAGTTTGTTAGGCCATTATTTACTCCGATTTATCTACGGATTTTTCCGTTTTTCCCGATCATGACAAGGAGCGGCTGTGACCGGTCGGCAGGGGATGCTTACTCTTCCATGGCAACAGATCCCTCCTCTGATGTTTTGGAGGTTCGTGTTTGCTCTGCTTCTAATTTGTATTGCTTGAATACTGTTTGTTATCTGCATGTTTCATAAGCAGTTACTGCTTCTTGTTATCATTAAATGCAGCCATTATACATTTTTAAAAAGAAACATTCTTCCGAACAGTGACTTATTTAATTTTCTCATCATTTAATTAATACAGTATCTAGTGTCAATAAAAACCTTTCATCCACACAAAAAAAAACGGAAATTACGTAAAATCTTTGATGTTCTTTTTTTTTTTTTTTTACGATTGCCAATGTTTGAATTCATTATTTTTTTCAATGTTCTCCAAAGAAGTATCAGCAAATTTAATGACTGACAATTCTAAATGAAAACTAGTCACTTTTAATCAGTGTGAATGGCAGTTCATTTATTCGTTAACGTGATGTTTAAAAAAAATGTTAGTCTAATCTGCTACATCATGTTTTTCTATTTCACCTTTTTTTTCTGTGGATTAGACGTTAATACGTAAATCTAACCTGCGTCTTGAAGAATCTGAATTTTATATTTAATATTTTGTCATCATTTTGCTGTGGGATTTTAATCAAGCTTGCCACTAAATTGGAAAGTATGTTCTGAAACAAAGCTGATATGCAGGTATGAAGTGAATTAGGGTTTCTTGGTATTGAAAATATTAGATGCTTTTAGAAGAAAGTCATACTCACTATGTATGCCTCTAAATTACTCTCCTTCTTATCTGGAAAACTAGCAAAGAATCCACAAAAGTTTTAATAGCAGAAATATATATAAAACATACATAAATAATAATAATATATATCAAGCTAGAACATTTTACCCATAAGCCTCTTTTGTAAGTATTTCATGATAGTATGGTATTTTTTTGAAATATGCACTTCAACAGGACGCAACCAATCATATTCCAAACGTTGATTGGCTATTTCTAAAAATATGAGTTCTTGAAACCAGTTTTCTTGTAAATTATATACGGTACCAATTTTGATGCACCAGATGCGCATGTCTCTTCAGTGATGCTCAAGCCGAATCGTTGAAAATCCAAAATATTTGAATAAAAAAACTTGGAAGAGCTGAAAAAGGTGCCAAAGAGTGGAGCCAAATACGTCAAAGGATCAGAGCTATACCTGAAGGAGATAGTCCTTAATTTTGAAATAAATTTCTAAATTTTACCACAGCAATTAAATATATATCCGTATTTCCAAGCTAGTACCGAAATACTAGGTTACTGGGCTGTAGAGACGTTCGGGGACTAATAATCCACCAGCAGAGGCCGTTTTTCGTTTCCGTGTTAGCCCCTATGATAAAATGAAAATTTCAAAATGTACAAGACAACACCAATCACATATCAAAAGATGATGATTCTGGCTTCTGAGTTAAATATATGAGTTTTGGGAACCAGGATTTCGAAACGTCGTTTTTGACTCCCAATTGGCCCCAACGTGAAAAAAAAATTCCAAAACACGTTTCGTAGATTTGTATCTAAATGACTACGACTAGACTTTAAAGCAAAATCAATATACCTATATTCTTTATAATTTTTGTACCTATATAGGGATATGCATTACCTAGCTATTCAATGCCATTTGCAAAAAAAGCATCTTTCAGTATTTCACTTATTTTAAAGTTTATGTATCTAGATTTTATTTATTTCGATTTGGCCGTCAGCTTAATTACATTGCCATTAATACAGAGGATGAATTATTTTTAATGTATTAATTCATCAAGTCCCTAGGTGCATCAGCCATAAGTACACGAGTTATCATATATATATGATTATAGATATCTTAATTCTCAGAACAATAAAGCTATAGTAGCTGGTAAGACATCTTATAATTCAGGCCCGTAGGAAGCAATTTCAGTTTGGGGGGCACAGCCATACATTTTCAGTTGAGGGGGCACTATCAACTACCAAAAATTTCTTGACAAGCAAAAAAAGGTCATCAGACGTATTTATTGAGGGGGCACAAGCATATAGTAGCTATGTTTTCTTTAGTAATCTATATATCGGCAAACTTATTGGGGGCACGGCCCCCACCCGTGCCCCCCCCCCCCTGGTTCCTACGGCCATGTAATTGTACATCACTCTATTTCTTTAAGTTTTGAATTGGATCCCACGATAAAAGAAACGATAAAAAAAAAATTTCTTTCCGAAAAAAAGCCAATGTGTATCGTACTGAGAATATGTCTATTTTAGGAATGACTCTAATTCTTGGCCAAATTATTCGAGTATAACCTGGTTTGGGTCAGTTTACGCTTTATAATCCGCGAAGCGGATTATAAAACAGCGTAAACTGACCCAAACCAGGTTATACTCGAATAATTTGGACAAGAATTAGAGTCATTCCTTATAATTTAATTTTAAAATCATTAAATAACTATGGGTGTAAAATTTCGTTGCTTTTTATTAGTTCAAATTTGCCGCTCAATAATACAACCGTAGTAACGGAAGTAACGGAAGTGATGGGAAGCGAGGGGAGGTAAAAACTGATACATAGGCCTAGCAGCTTGTTTACATGTGGTAAGATCGAATTATTGTTTGAAGTTAAAGGTATATTTATTCAATCTGGAATTTTCCATGAATCCCGAGGACTGGAAATGAGAGGATTGTATGGATACAGATGATTCAGCTGGTTGTCAGGGGGGGGGGTGTCCCCATACCAAACCAAGTTATACAGAAATAATTTGTGTTCCTTTTTGGATATTAACCAATCAGAGACTAGAATACAAACAAAATTAAATTATTTTAGGAATGACTCTAATTCTTGGCCAAATTATTCGAGTATAACCTGGTTTGGGTCAGTTTACGCTTTATAATCCGCGAAGCGGATTATAAAACAGCGTAAACTGACCCAAACCAGGTTATACTCGAATAATTTGGCCAAGAATTAGAGTCATTCCTTATAATTTAATTTTAAAATCATTAAATAACTATGGGTGTAAAATTTCGTTACTTTTTATCAGTTCAAATTTGCCGCTCAATAATACAACCATAGTAACGGAAGTAACGGAAGTGAAGGGAAGCGAGGGGAGGTAAAAACTGATACATAGGCATAGCAGCCATGTTGTTTGGTTACATGTGGTAAGATCGAATTATTGTTTGAAGTTAAAGGTACATTTATTAAATCTGGAATTTTCCATGAATCCCGAGGACTGGAAATGAGAGGATTGTATGGATATAGATGATTCAGCTGGTTGTCAGGGGGGTGTGTCCCCATACCAAACCAGGTTATACAGAAATAATTTGTGTTCCTTTTTGGATATTAACCAATCAGAGGCTAGTATACAAACAAAATTAAATTATATCAAATTAACGAAGCCATTTACTTATCCATGCCAACATTTTTTTGTTTCGTTTTGTTTTGATTTGTCTTCTTTTTTTTGTTTGTTTGTTTGTTTTTTTTTTCCTTTTATAGTTGCGCGTGTAGGTTATTAAGGCTAGCACATATCTGATTTTTTTTTTTGTTTTTATTTTTTATTCATATATATATATAATGAAAGGAAAAAGAAAACGCCCGGTAAACTTTGGAAGTGCGTTAACGTTAATTTGTCTAATGTATTTTCCAGTATTGTTATGTAATATTCATATGCATCTTTAATCAACAATCAACCAAAATCTCATTTGATTTTGACCGATAATTCATGAATTATTAAAATCAATATGACAATTCACCCCAAAACAAAAAAAAATAATTCATATAACCTCCTATGCCTTCTTCACGCATCTGTCACAGCCTTGCTTTTTCTTTGCATAGAGGTCATCAGTGCATATACCTTTCTCATAGGGATATTGTTCAACCCAAATTTTGAAGTTGCGTTGTTACGCGCCTACGTAATCGCCACGGTTGTTAGAAACCCTTCCAGTTTTTCTCTAACGACGGATAACATGTTTATGGTAGAAAAATCCACAACAAACTGCACAATAACTTGTTGTTGCCTTTTTCCTTTTCTTTTTAGGCAATGCAACAGCAAGACCCCATGGAACTTCAGTCAGCTGTTCCCTCACTGTAAGAAATTCAAATTGTCTGTAAACGTCAAAAATCGATGTTTATATTTCCAGTACATCAAGTGGTATTACAAGATGTGTTGACAAACCTGTCATGGTAGTATGGGATACCTTCACGTTATGACGTACTTCCGTTTGAAGTATTGTTTTAATTTGCATGAGTGCTTATTATCAAAGTTTGTAGATACACCGTTTAAAAGAACACTCTGAAGCTATTTCAATGCAAGTTGTCACAAGTCGGCATTTTAGCTAAAATAGACAAAAAATTCGCAAGTAGTCATACATTCACAGTTGAGTAATTCTGAACACTGATTTTAGTGCACAGTAGCCAAGATACCCCTCTGGCCAGTTTTCGGAATTTTTGGCTACGGAGTCAAAACATTTTGGCATATTATGTTACCTTGC